GTATAACTTTCTCTAGTGTATGTTGTTGTTTTTCCAGAGGTATGCCTCTCAGAGAGGTTAGGTCTAGTCCCCCTCTCTTCTGTATGCTACTCTATATTAATAAAATATCGGCATCTGACTCCCGGCATTTGCCCCACTGATTTTGGTGGTTTGCCTTCCTGGATAAAAAAACTCTACTTTTCTCTCATCCATTTATTTTTCACCTTCGCCCATCATCTTATATTTTTCTCACCTACTCCCCATTCTCTCCGCTCTACATCTTATATTTCTCATGTCTGCTCTCTCTGCTATCCCATCGGCTTCTTTTTACTCTATTTTATTTTCTTCTTCTTCTCTCGCTATTATAATAAAGATGGACCGATAGCAAATAAAAAAAAGAAGTCGACAGGCAAACAGGGAGAGCAGCCAAAAGAGAAGGAGAGCAGCAGGGGCAAATCTAGAGGGGGTCAACCTAGGTCCTGATCCACCCCAAATTCAAAAATGTAAATGAACTTGTTTCAAGTGGACCCTTTTTTTGAAAGGAAAAATTGAAAATAATAATCCCAACTATTGCCGGTCCGCTGAAAATAATCCCAACTATTGATTATTTTTGTATAATCCCAACTATATAGGCTATCCGCCAATAATGGTCCATGATCATATATTACCTCTATAAAAAGTGAATTTTAAACAGAAATTAAGCGTAAAAATTAAAAGTTGAGATTATTTATAAGGATTACTTGTTATATCTCATCTCATCCACTTTAGAAACTACAAGAATTTATTCATAGGGACCATTATTGGTGGAAGGTCCCTAAAGTTGGGATTATTCTGTAATAATCAATAGTTGGGATTATTATGAGCGGACCGCCAATAGTTGGGATTATTACTATCAATTTTTCCTTTTTGAAAATGTTATATAAATAATCCCACCTTTGTAGGTCATCAATATGTCAGAGTCCAATGAAAGAAGATGAGTTGCAAATGTGGGATTATTCTTGGATTACATAAAGGTGGGATTATTATGAGAAGACCAGTGAAAGGTGGGATTATTCTTGTCAATTTTTCCTTTTTTTTAGTTTATGTTTTCTAGGTATTGAGCTTTCTTCTTTTCTATTTCATTTTCTTTTTGTTTTTTCTTGTATAGTAGGAGCAACTTCCCAGGCCAGTCATGCCTTAGGCTCTGTTTGCAAACAAAACTAAAAAAACGCTTTCCACCTTTTGGCTTAAAAAAGCTAAAAAAGATGTTTTCAAACGACAACTTCTACTTAAATGAATTACTTAAAAGCTAAAAGTTAGAATCTCCTTTTTATTTTTTCTATTACACAAAAAACACTTATTTTACCAAACACCACCAACTTTTACTTTTCAAAATCACTTTTTTCTCAAACACTACCAACTTTTACTATTAATCACTTTTTTATCAAATCATTTAAAAAAGTTAAAAGCACTTCCCAGTTGGGTTTGCAAAGAGAGCCTTAGTCTCACCCTCGTTCCTCGTCTGACAAGGCCACCAACTTCACTGGCGTTCTCGGCACCTAATCGCCGGCGGTCAGCCGCTACTATATCCTTTCTTCTCTTAAATTGGAGAGTCACAGATTAGAGCTATTGAAAAGCGGATGCTTGTGAAAATCTTGGTTTCGGGCTTTCAGCCATGGAGATTACGGCATTTCTCAAGTGACTCTAGTTGATTATGCATTAAAAGTTTGGATTCCCAAATTAGTTTGTTCTTTATGTTTAATTTCTGGAACAAAAGGAAGCAAAGTAGAAGAACAGTTCCTATGCGTAGGTTGTTCATTGACTAGGTAAGGCTGACCAAAAAAATGAAAGAGTTAAAGTCACATGAGTACATGTCGACAGCTACCGGCTGAATTGGTAATCAACCGGCAAAAAATTAAAATTGGGTGTTTTTTAATAGTTGGAGGGGTTGATTGGATGTTTCGATAGTACGGGGTTTAATTGACTTTTTGGCTATACTACGGGGGCTTTTTGACAGTTTTTTTAATAACAAAAGAGCATAGTGACCTCAGTTGACTAACATTGAAACACGATATTATGATGAAGGCTATAAGATGGAATAAGAGTTACGGGCATAGAAGGGTTGAGTGGAATTTGCATCCCTCATTAGAATGTAGTATGACTGAATTAAGAAAGGAAAATAAAGATATTACAAGCTCTAAATTCGATTATCGAAGTCAAAATCAAACCCAAAAGAACAAAAGAAACGTTCAATAGATTAATTAAATACGGAGTATGTTATTTGCAACTCATTTCCTTGATTTGTTTGCCATTATCACTCAATTAATAGTGTTTCTTATTTATTTATGGTTACTAAATACATGACCAACTAATAAACAAGAAAAGGAATCAATCCTTTCATTTTCATTTACCTCAATGCCACAAAGGCTTCCACCTAAGGTGGAGTAAGGGGAAAATGAATCAATTCTAAATCTACAAATTTAAACAACATGTTGTGATTTCCGAGTAGGCCCAAGTGAGGGTGTTACACATAGAAATTGCCTTTCACGTTTCATTTTTGTGTCAAATCCTTTCAAGAACAACATCAGTCTTAAAACATTCTAACAAATATATGAACTCATTTTCAAATTATTTCGTGGAAATATAACATGCATCATAGAAGAATAATTCCAACATAAGTTTCAAATTCCAACATACATAAAAAAAACTAAATTACATATGTAATATGATATACACCAATATGTAGGCAATAAAAAAATTGTAGGCAACTATGCCTAAAAATCATAATTGCCTACAAATTGTAGGCAAATATGAAAAAATTTAACTCTAACAAACACATTGTATCATACTTACCCATTACAACTATGCCTAATTTGGGGGACTCATAGCTTTTGTGATGAGTGAATGAGTGATGACAATTGATTATAGTCCACGTGACGCTAGTTCCTCTCTAACTTCATTGGGGGGAGGGGGGCTTTCTTAACTCTGACAACATGATGATCCTTCATAACATATCATCTCAATTATGATCATGCTATCGGGAAGCTAAGGTGTGATCCGACCTAGACAGATTGAAGTAGTGTTATTTTTATTTTCTTTGAGAAAAGTCATACATCTAAAAGCGGTGAACGGTGAATTGTTATTCAAACAAAAGGCGAGAACCCGTTTTTAGAACCCGCTAAATGCCTCACGCACGCTATCAACTAGATGCAATGTGATATATATATATATATATATATATATATATATATATATATATAGAGTACTCTTCCGGTCAGGAATTCCTGACCGGAACCTCCGTCCGGACGGCGGAGTTTGGCCGCCTTCCGGGTGGAATTTTTCGACAAAATTTTTATGACATGTTCTTCATGAAGTCTAGTTTATCCACAAAAAATTTCAGCCAAAAACTCATTCGGGAAGGTCGTCAAATGATTTTTGCAAGTTAACTGGTCCGGAAAATACATATTCCGGACCAGTTAACTTGCAAAAATCATTTGACGACCTTCCCGATTGAGTTTTTGACTGAATTTTTTTGTGGATAAACTAGACTTGATGGAGAACATGCCATAAAAATTTCGTCAAAAAATGTCACCGGGAAGGCGGCCAAACGCCACCGTCCGGACGGCGGTTCCTGTCCGGAATTCCGGACATGAATAAAATTCTATATATATATATATATATATAGAGGAATGCTCCTGTCCAGACGTCCGGACAGGAGCCGCCGTCCGGCCGGCGGCGTTTGGCCGCCTTCCCGGTGGAATTTTTTGATGAAATTTTTATGGCATGGTCTCCATCAAGTCTAGTTTATCCACAAAAAAATTCAGCCAAAAACTCAATCGGGAAGGTCGTCAAATGATTTTTGCAAGTTAACTGGTCCGGAAAATACATATTCCGGACCAGTTAACTTGCAAAAATCATTTGACGACCTTCCCGATTGAGTTTTTGGCTGAATTTTTTTGTGGATAAACTAGACTTGATGGAGAACATGCCATAAAAATTTCATCAAAAAATTCCACCGGGAAGGCGGCCAAACGCCGCCGGCCGGACGGCGGCTCCTGTCCGGACGTCTGGACAGGATCTTTTCTATATATATATATATATATATATATATAGAGAGAGAGAGAGAGAGAGAGAGAGAGAGGAATGTTCATGTCAGGCCGGCCTGACGGCCTGCCCCGTCCGGCCGAGCCCGTTTGGGCACCTTCCCGGTGGAATTTTTTGATGAATTTTTTTGAGCATGTTCCTCATCAAGTCTAGTTTGTCCATACCAAATTTCAGCTCAAAATTCGATCGGGAAGGTTGTCAAATGATTTTTGCAAGTTAACTGGTCTGGAAAATACATATTCCGGACCAGTTAACTTGAAAAAATCATTTGACAACCTTCCCGATCGAATTTTGAGCTGAAATTTGGTATGGACAAACTAGACTTGATGAGGAACATGCTCAAAAAATTTCATCAAAAAATTCCACCGGGAAGGTTCCCAAACGGGCTCGGTCGGACGGGGCAGCCCGTCAGGCCGGCCTGATGAGAAGAGCCCTCTATATATATATATATACATGATACAAACAAAATCATTATACACTACATTTCCAACTTCAGCGTTCTTTAAAACACCTTTAGAGACTCATATATTTGTTTTTCATATTGAAAAATGAGAGGAGATGGGAGTTCATGGTCCTAATACTATAATCCATCCTCACATTCCTCCCATTGTGCAAGTGTACACGAAAGTTTGTTGGAACTTAATATGACAAATGCCATCAATTAAAGTATATGGTTTTAGTGATTGGCAGCCTTGGGTATGTAAGAGGTTGAATTTACACCCCTTTGACAGTTGACACATTCATCATTTATTAGAGCTTGGCTCACAATTTTATTTATTTATTGCATCTATAACAATTTGCCATTAGACATACGTAAAAAAGAGCACATGACCGTTATTCTGTTTTTTATTTTTAGCTATATACTCTCGACGGGAAAGAAAACGCGGCTTCTATAATAATGTAATGAAATAGTAATAAAAGAAATAATAACCCGGAAAAAAATAAGTGCTGGTTGGTTAGTATAAAAAATTCAGACATCATCAAACTGAAAACCCTTCCCCGCATTTGCGCAATCAACAATTTTGTTGGCTTGTCAACCCTAGAAATTTTCCCAATCTTTCTGCTTTGGGTTTCTGCAAGTTTCTTTGTTAAAACCCCTAGCTTGATTACCAGCTACGAGTTTGTAACAATTCTGTTGCTTCCTGGCTTTCCTGCATCTGTTTCTATACACATATCGGGTGTTTATCTTCTTCTGGGGGGAGAAGAAGAAATTGTGAATGAACAGAATGCAGCAGGGAAAGAAAGGAGAAGTGATCGTTGGTGGTCATCAATTGGAGTTGAGAACTGTAGTTGATGATAGGAGGAGCTATGGAGATGGGGTTGCATGGCGGAGAGGAGCAATGTTAGGGAAAGGAAGCTCTGGGTGTGTTTTCATGGCGACCCTGAAGAAGCCCAGATCGAAGTATAGCTACTATCCATCAGTGATGGCTGTCAAATCCGCAGAGGTTTCTGATTCGGGCTCAATCCAGAAGGAGCGGGAGGTACTTGACAAAATCAAGGGAAACCCTTATGTAATCAGAAGCTTCGGGGAGGAGACCACAACAGGAGAGAATGGTGATATGGTTTACAACTTGCTGTTAGAGTATGGCTCTGGCGGAACCCTAGCAGAGAGGATCAAGAGATCAGGGGAGAAAGGATTGCCTGAATTGGAGGTCAGGTTTCATACTAGGTCTTTGCTTAGAGGATTGAATCATATTCATATGATCGGCTATGTCCATTGTGATCTCAAGCCTGATAACATATTATTGCTTCCTAGTTCGACCGTGGGAAGTGGTGTCGAATTTAGGGCAAAAATTGGGGATTTTGGACTTGCAAAGCGTGCAAAGCAGAGCAAAAAGAGGCGATTGGAGCCTTATTGGAGGGGCACCCCTATCTATCTGTCACCCGAGGTGGTTAAGGACGGTGTCCAAGAAGAGCCTTCTGATATATGGGCTCTCGGGTGCATCGTGCTTCATATGTTAACCGGTGAGCCACCCTGGGCTGAGGATCGACAGCTAGAAGCCAAGGAGGTTCTTACTAAGATTAAGGAAGGGAAAACACCTAAGATTCCCAAAGAGATACCGAAGGTGGCAATGGATTTTCTGAAAGGCTGTTTCGTAAAGAATGATATGTATAGACTGACTGCTGAAATGCTGTTGAACCATCCGTTTGTAGAAGGGTTGGCTGATGATGATGGTGATTGGCAGTTCGGAGAAGTGGTTGAAGATTTAAATGCTATTCATTCTGCTTCATGGGTATCTGATGATGAGGATTCGATATACTCTTGGTCAGATGAAGATGATGGGAGTTACGAAGGCGAAGTTACTTGGGAAAGCGAAGAAAACCTCGATGAGACATCATTGGAACTTTCGTCTGAGGTTCCATCTCACACTTCTACAAAAACGTATCTGGTTGATTATACCATTCGTGCGGGAGTTGTTTAAAGAGCGTTTAACGTCATGTTGAGGATATATATAGGGTCAGTTTTCCTTAGTTATAGAAGAAGATTTATTGATCATAGATCATTTCTAGGTCATATTCAATGTACTTACCACACAAGTGATAGAAATTTAATGAATAATATATGAATTATTTAAGATTCTTTTCATTCCCCATTCTACTCCCTATTTCTTTCCATATCTGAACAGCACTCAAACTTATTAATGTCTACTTCCATAGTTCCATGCTGGCATCTTGAGCTTCCGGGAGTAGAAAGCAAACTAAATGAATGTAAGAAAGCATACATTTATATAGCCTATATCAACGCCAATTGTTTAATCAGAAGTAATGAACGTCCCGTAACTCTTTATCGCTGAATCAAACAGACACATCAATTTATATCGGTAACCAGAGAATCTGGTGCACTGTCCAACTACACCAATTCAAGAAAAGTGCTGCAATGGTGAATGTGTAAAAGCCCTTTTTTTTCCATTGCATTTTACTGTTTCTGTCATTTCCTTTTCCCTGATTTCAGCTGATACATATTCTCAATTGAACTAATAATACCAAAGGGATGGTCTGAGGTAGAGTTTATCAAGAATAAACCAATGGCAAGAATATTGATTGGCTGCCTGAGACTGGAAAGGAATGTGTCATAGAATAAGAATAATTAGTACTCTCCTTTACACGCAAACTTTCAGGATTTGTGACTACTCTGCGTTTGGGAGTGGTAAAAGTATGATTGGGGCGGTGGAGTTTAATTGGAGTAATGGTCTAACTCGTAAGTACTTAAATTTTTAATTAGCCAAACCCACATATTATATACAAAAAAAATATACTTATTAGCCTACACTGGACAAAATATGGTACGGCCGGCTGTACCAAGGGCATGGCACAACTGACATTTTTGTAATTTCTTCCAATTCATAGGGTGTTAGAGAACTAGAGAAGTGAGTTCTTTCTATTGCTTTTCTTTTTTTCCGCCTCCATTGCTCTTTCTTGCTTGTTGGCTTTACTTGTTTTTCCTTTTTTCGTTGCTTTTACTTGTTATTCTCTTTCTTTCATTTTCTTTATTTTACTTGTTGCTTTTCTTTTATTTATTTTTTTCTTTAACAATCTTTTACTTTAACTTTTTATTCAATTATTATGAAAATGTATTATATAAAATACTCCGTATTATTTAATGTTTGAGTATGTTTTTTTCTTTTTCCAATCAACCTTCTAACTTAAGTTTTTTTTTAATTTGTGCATTACGGAGTATAAAATATTTTAGGTACTAATGTTGTGTTTTTCTATTTTTAATTTTAAGATGAATATTTATTTGTTTATTAAATATTGTGTGTTAATTACAAACATGAGTTTTGTGTTATACTAAAATGAGTATAGTGTAAAATAAATGTGCATGAGTAAATATTATAAAATCAACATGATTATATTTATAATTCAAGAACAATAGACTATAAATTATTTTTAATATAACATTTTTATATTTCTCATTGTTATATATAATGATACTCTCTCCATCCTGCTAAGACTATCTCATTTTTCCTTTTCGGTTTGTCTCATTAAAATTGTCTTACATCATATTTGGTACAATTTGTGGTTCTAAATCATTCTCTATATTTCTTAATCACTGCTTCACCTCTTCATGTCCACATGTTATTAGTGGGAAGGAGGTAGTAGTTTATTAAATTGTTAATAACGAATCTACAAGATGTACATATTATAGAAAGAAGTTGATGTTATATTCAAATGAGCATAGCAATTAAAAGAAATGAGTATACACAAATGAGTATTTGAACACATTAGAGAATTCAAATGAGTTTATGAATCTTTTTATGCCCATTTTGTAAGTTATGTATGTTTATCTGGTATTGGTTTTATGTTCATTTTAAAATGTTATATAAATGCATATTTCAAAACTATTATATTACATTATATTCGTATGATAGTTGATTATAGACACGAGAGCATAGATCATGATACTCAATTGCATGCTTCTAATACTAAATATAAGAGATTTGATGCTAAATGAAAAAATATTTTGATGTTCAACTAACAAAGCTTATTACTTTAATATTATGGCTCATTTGTAAGTTATGTATGCTCATTCGGTACTTGTGAATAAAAAAATATAAAGTTTCATATTACACTAGATTCACATATTGAAATTCTTAGGTGTTGATTATAGATATAATTTAAGAATTTTTATAAAAGAAAAAAATAAGAAAAAGAAAGTGAATAACAAAATATAAAGCAGAGACCATGATACTCATTGTTAGGCTCCTAATACTCAACAGAACATATTTGATGCTTATTGAAATTGCAATAATGCTCATTTAAGAGAAAACCACAATTTTCTACCAATTTTACAAAAGTGCTACCGCCTATATGGTGCAATTGGTACAATCAGCTGTACGGTATACGTTTCCCTCCACCATTCAAAATTTAAGTCAAAACATTATGCCTTTGAAATTATATAACCATAAAAAAGCGTGTGTCTTTAGTGTTTTTATTATCCCTAAGCGTAATTTAATAATGATTTCTCTCACTTATGTAATAACAATAGAAAAAACTACATAAATATTACTCTTTTAAATGTGATGGACAAAAACATTACTTAGTAACTATTTGTGACTACAATTGTGTTCAAATTTACATTGTAAAAACTAAATTTAAGTTACTGTAATGTAAACTTTAAATACAACCATAGTCACTAGTAGTTACTAAATCACATTTTCCATTACATTTTTATTAGTAATATTTATGAATAAACCCCTTAATAATACGTAGTAGTAGTTATCTATTTATTATTTATATATAAGAAAGGATATGACTCATTAAAATACATGTTTACCCTTAAAACATCTCAAGTGGTCTTCAACCCAATTTTTCTTCTTAACTAGTAAACTCACCCGTGCGATGCACGATCGGAGAATTTTTCTTCAATTTTATTTCTGCTCACAAATACATAACTACATATGATTGGTGAATTTTCTTAAAAAATGTACATAACTACATATATAATACATACCATTGAAAGAGTCTCATGTTAGAGGATTTGCGTTGAACACTTGTGCGATGCACGGTTGGTAAAATTTCACAGGTGTAGTTAATTTTAATCAAATTTAACTTGAATTAATAATAACTTGTAATTTTAATGTAATTGTCTGGAGTTATGCTGTATAAAGTTTCTATAGTAGGTATCATACTATAAAGATAATTTGAAAATACATTGCATTTCATGCTAAGTCATTTGAAACACTTTTCATACACAATATTCTTGTTTTCATTGTTTGTTCCCATGTTCTCATTTGGAATGTGTTTTTTTACGCTCGTTGATTGGTTACTATTGATTCAACCACATAAAGTTGAATATGACTAAACATGGCATTTTCAACAATGACATCTTTTATCTCGCACTAACCTGTCTCGCAAGTGATGTTGACAAATAACTTTTCCATTTTCAAAGGTTTATATATATTATTGAAGGTAAATTATTTATAGTGATTAAGTAATAAGGTGACTATAAATTTATACGAATTGCTTTTTTAGATGGATTGTCTATCTAAATAAGTAAAATAAGGGAGTGCAAATATGTGAAAATGTGTTATGTCATTCTTAAACTATTCTTGAATCTAAATTTGTGAGAAAATAGGTGCTTCTACTATTTCTAATATCAAAGTACGATTCTAGTCTGATTTGTTTAAGTCTGATTTGGTTTGAGACTAAAATATATATAAATCATTCAAGTAAAAACATCCCAAGTAATAAGGTGACTATGCATTTATACGAATTGCATTGTTTACACGAATTGCCCATGTAAATGGCAAATCAGGGGGTGTGCAAATATATATAAGTGTGTTATGTCATTATTAAACAATATTTGAATATTAATTTGTGAGAAAATGCTAGGTGAGTCCCTTTAAAAAAATGAAAGAAGTTGGAACATTGTGCCCCTTTAAAAAAAAATACTCTATAGTCCGTACAATCATTCTTCCCAAACCTACACGCCATCTACTTCAGTCCATGAAAATTGTATGTTTTGGGTTTCTTTTTCTTCCCAAACCCGTGCGACGCACGGTCAGAGATGTTTCGGATTCAACTTCAAGCAATTTATCTTCGTGTGATTAAATGTCATCTAGGTGATGAAATGCCATCTTTTTTATTAAAAAAATCATTTTAAAAATTTTATGTTTACCAAATAAAACCTTAGATTGAGGACCGGAATAAGATATAATCATTTTGTTTCCTATCTGTATAGGCTATTAGTATTCACTCAGGTATTCCCCTAATCATAATACTAAAGGGAAAAGTGTCAAATAGGCCCCCTTACTAATACGAAAAAGTCAATTAAGCCCCCGAACTCAAAAAACATTCAATTAAGCCCACAAACTAAATATAACTAAGCAAAACAGTCCTTTTAGCAGGATATTAATCGTTCCCAGTTAAGTTGCATGTGTGGCAAATGAAGTGGTGTGCTTTTACATTTTCTTTTTCTCTTTTTCTCTTTCTTTCCTTTTTCCTTATCTCTTTTTAACAGCTTAATTACCTGCTAAAAGGACTGTTTTGCCTCATTTTTTATAGTTCGTGGGCTTAATTGAGTGTTTTTTGAGTTCAGGGGCTTAATTGACTTTTCTGTATTAGTAGGAGGGCCTATTTGACAGTTTTCCCTAATACTAAATCATTAATACTAAATTATTGATTTTTGTTTGAAAATTTTAACTACAATATACGTACATCACTGGGCTTTCATGACCCATGATTTTATACCTCCACTCCAACGGACCAAATTGTATAGCCCATCCATGTTAGACTTAAAGTAAATCAAGCCTATATGATGCGGCCCAAATGACGATGCAGCATATAAGCATATTACCCCGTATACAACATGGTAGATTCATCTAGTAGTCACCCCTAGACCTGTACAAAACCGGGCTGGCCCGTCCGGCCCGCCCAGCCCGCCCGCAAAAATTAGCGGGCTTGGGCATATATATTTACCAACCGGCCCGGCCCGAGTCCGGCCCGTAACAACGTATGGGCGGGCTTGGGTTAGGGTGTAGGCCCGTTCGGACCGATAAGCCTGGCCCGCTACATTTAGTATATATACATATATATATGTTTTAGATATACTTTCTCATTATTATTTTTGTATAAATATTT